CAACAGAGGGAAGAAGCTTCCCCAAGCCTTGGTGATGTTTTAACAGGAGGGGTGCCTCCAAAATCAGGCACCAGATTCAGCCACAGCTGCTGCAGAGCACTGGGTGTCCATCCCACACTACCTGATGTCTGCAGTTTTGCATGGGGAACTGCTGGTGGTTGCAGCTACTCCAGGCGGCAGAGATGGAGCTGTTTATGGTTAGAAGTTCTTCAGCTCAAAAGCTGTGAAGCTTTTTGAAATGAGCTGGGTTTATTTCAAGTAATGAGAATACATTTCTAGCCATTGAGGATGCTGGTGTCGAAGGTGGAGCTGTGAAGCAAAGTCCTCTTAAAAAAGTCTTGATTAATATTTCTGGGCAGAAGAAGAGCTCTGGAAGGATCTGTAGAGAGAGTTGTGGCCCTACACTGGAATAACATCTCAGTTAATTATTTGGGATGTACCGCAGACCATTTCAGACAGTGCAGAGGATCTGGGATAACTCATTTTCAAACCCTGCCATCTCCCATGCAGTTCATATCCCACTGCTAAGGTGGCAAATAGACCAGGAAAGAAGAAACCTAAAGGCAGCTTGTGAGGTGCTGACCTGCTACTGCAGAGGGGAGCAAAGAGCTTCTCTGGAGCTAGGGTCCTGCCTTTAATTTCTATTGGTGTTTATATGGTATGTCAGGCTATTGCTGGTGTTTTCCTTTCCTAAACCAAAAGCAGAATTCCCCCTTTCTGCCTGACTTTGGTGTCAAGAGCAGTTGTCAATTAAAAAATAAATAAAGGAATAACAAAAAAGAAAAGAGGCCTTGACCAGGCTGGAGCAATTTGGATACATTCAACCTTTAAGAAAGATTCCTTGTTTTCACTTCAGGGGGATATTTTGCCAGTGGCTGCTTAGTGAACATCAAGGAAGGTTTTTCTTGGGTCATTTTCAGAACACAGTTTAAAAAAGGAAAGAAAGAAAACCCCAAAACTAAGTGGGGTCCTTTGTTGGCTGAGGTTGATTCCTGCTTGGGTGAGGGTTACCAAACACAGGTCAGGTACTCAGCCTGGTGGCACTCAGTGGGGTGCGATCATGTTCAGCTGAGCTGTACAACTGGCCCTCTACCAAAGACATTTCTCTGTGTACCCAGTGTTAACAGAATCCCAGACTGGTTTGGGTTGGAAAGGACCTTAAGATCATCCAGTTCCAACCCCCCTGCCATGGGCAGGGACACCTCACACTAAACCATGGCACCCAAGGCTCTGTCCAACCTGGCCTTGAACACTGCCAGGGATGGAGCATTCACAACCTCCCTGGGCAACCCATTCCAGTGCCTCATCATCCCCACAGTAAAGAACTTCTTCCTTATATCTAACCTGAACTTCCCTTGTCTAATCATCTCTTGGAGATTTACTAATTTATGCTTGCCAATGATCCTTTCCCACTCCAATGCAGGACATACCCCTGTTAAAGGCAGTGCTGAAGCACACACTAGAGCTGAAGCACTCACCATTCCTGCATCTGCTGGGGCGGGCTGGAGGTTTAAGTGATTTCCTCTTCAGGGCCTTACAAGACTTGTGGGGTTTGTGCCACCTTAGGAGTCTGGGCACAGCTTGAAAGGTTTAAGTGCAGGAGAGACCGTATTTCCCAGAAAAGGGAAATTTGTATTTTATAAACCCCTCAGTACCCGTTTTGCTCACATCCATTTTATGATTATAATTACTTGGATTACTTTTATTTTAGATGAAGGAAAACAATAATGAAAGGATAACTAAATAAAAAAAGGCCCAGAAAAAGAAGGAAAACACTGTGGTTTCTGTTCAGAATGTTTAACCCTTCAGCAAGAGGAAGAGCTGGATCTTTAGATGTGGAGGAAAAGGCTGCTTGTAGTTACACACAGACTACTAAGATTTCTACTCTTTTCAATGGAACATTCATTCCTGCCCTTGAAGAAAGGTGAATCTCCCATGCCTTTTCTGTGTTTAAACAAATTGTGGTTCTCCAGATGTCTGCAACAAAACTGAACATCATAAATGCATACATATATAATAAATATTATATATACACACACAAAAATGTATATAATATATATAATTTCCCACAGGAATACCTACAGCATTTCTCCATCCTTGCTGGGCTGTATGCAGAGGGGACTGCTTTAGAGCTCAGCCCAGGGCAGATGGGGATGAGAAGGCACTGCATGCTGCAGCAGAGTGAGTTTTGTTTGTTCTCAGCAACTATGCTGTATCCATGCAGGTACGGTGGATGAATTGAGTAAGGCATATCCAGTGCCTGCAATCTGCTACAAGGCAAATAGAGATGGTAATCCTGTTCATGCCTTTGAGTGTGATAACTGTTAAAATAAGAGAAAACCCAAAGTGATTGCTGTAAACCCTGTGTCTTCATAAACACCGCTCATCCCTTTTCCACTTCTCATTACAGTGATGGATGCTGCCTTTTCTTCTTGCTATAATACGTAAAGTCCCATAAAGGACATAAAACTTGTTCTTTCCAGAGGTTCCCACCGCACTGGGCTATGCCTGCATGTTTGAGATGCCCAAAGCTCAGAGCACCAGAAGCTCTGCCTGGATTTGCTGAGTGTTATTGACCTTTTCTGGGTGTTTCATCCAACAAAAAGACACAGCATTTTTTCCTGGGTCCCTTATGAGCCCCAAGAAGCAAGTGCCATGTACCTTACACCCCCTGCACAGTGCGCGGCAGGCTCCTAGCAAAGCAAGCAGATGTATTGCTCTGTGCAGCGGCAATCAGGAGGGGAATTAAAATTATGATATGTTGCCATGGTAATGAAGTCCTGGGATTTTGCTAGGAGGAAAAGTGAGGTTGTAGCTGGTTGCTTATGAATTCCTCAGTAGGCTTTTCAATACCCTCTTTCCTTTAAATGAAATTGGAGAAAGACTTGCAGTTCATAGAGGGATAAAAATTTTATGAAGCTAAATCTAGGCAGTGTTTTAGTGTCAGTCAGCATTAACCCACAGCATGAACACGTAAATAATTGACATGTCAAACACCCCAGTGCTCTGGGGTAGAGCACCAGCAGCACTTGAGGGCTGGTGCTCCATAGGCAGCCCTGAAGCTCATGAGCTGCATTCCAAGCATCCAAGCACTGGATGAAAACGCTCTTCCTTCCCTGCATCCTTCCATTGCCATACCTCCTTATAGGCTTTCTTCTGGCCAGATTAAACCAGGATAAACCTGACAGGTTTCCCCTGGCTTGGAGCAGGTGAGTTTAGCTGCTTAGGGAAGTATTTGCAGCTCTCGCTTGAAGACAAAAGTTCTGCTTATCTATAGGCTGTGGTCAGCAGGACGGCTGTGAGCTGAGGTTTGCAGGTGTGGGATCGACTCTGCCCCTGCCAAATAAAGAGAATCCTGAAATAAATGAACAACAAAATAAATGCACTTAAAAAAAAATCATAGAAAAATAGAGTGAAAAGGTTGCAAAGCGCTGCTTGCTTGTGAGGGTGAGGATTTGGTTTGAAAATGGATAATCAATGGAGATTTAAGATAACAAAAGATGGAAGGTTTTTTGACCAACCCTGGCCTTAGTTCCCCCTTATGTTTATAAGAACCTTAAGTGGAGCTGGCTGAAAATTAATTTGCAAAGGGGAAATATAATGCTAAAACACAAGTTTTAATGTTTTGGGCAAGAATAACACCAGGAGAAGGGAACTGCTCCCAGCTTTTCCTCAAACGTGATTTTATCATTCATTTTTCTGCTTTTCTCTTCCTACCTCACTCTTTCAGAGGCAAATGGGAGAGGCAGAGGATGAGAACAGATCACTGTCTGCAGGGCAGTACAGACAGCCGGTGGGAAGAGTAATGGAACAAAACCAAATCACAGAAAAGAGGCAGTTTGAGGGCTTTCAAGGACCATTTTCAGGGAGGAAAGTAGAGACGTTTCCTTGTGATAGGGAGATGCTCTACACTGTGCTAGAGGCTCAGGTGAAAAACTCTCACTAGAAAGTAATGCTATGTGGAGAATTCTCCCCCCTGCTCAAATCCTTGGAAAAGCCACTCAGGAAGATGGGATGAGGCTCCTCAGTTACCTGCAGCCTCACTCATCCATGGCATCCATTCCCCTTTGCTCCTCCTGGACCCTTGTACCCACTGCTTTCCTCTGCAGCACCAGTGAGTGAGTTGGATCTTGCAGCAGAACCTACCAAAGCCCAATCCCCCTACTGCAAGCATTTAGTTTTCCACGTTTATTCCCTTGTTCCCACACAGCCACCAGCACTAATTCCAGGTGGGATTGGCAGCTGCTGGGAAGGGGAAATCTCAGCTTGTTGTGACAGCAGCATGGATGTTTGTTGGGCAAGTATATGTGTACAAGTGAAACTTCCCCCTTGCTGTTGCAGGATGAGCTGCTGTCAGCCTTGGCTTGAGCATCTTCACACTGCGGTGCAGCAGGGTTTCATTTGGCTCTGGGGGCTTTTAATGTCAGTCTCAACATGTATTCCACCATGGTTGTAGAACAAGCACTTCACTGTTATAGAACACAGGTGGAGGTGGATCAGGTTGATATTGCTGGGTGAGACACCCTTCACCTGCTTCAGCATGCAGCTGTAGCCAATCCACATTGCAACCAGGGTGATTGCTAGGAGCAAATATCTCAGAGCTCTTCTCAGCTCTATATAACTGTAAAGAAAGTGAAAACAAAAGGTGAAATGAAGCAACTGGTGCTATCACCTTCTGCAGGGCTCCTGCAGAAGAAATGTAGGTCCCTAAGCTGCAGGATAGCCTGGGGGCACACCAGTATGGCTGTGGCACTGGTGAAAGCTGGAGTGTTGTAATGAGTGACTTTCACAGAGCTTGGGAATTTGTGGACCCTCCCAAGAGCAACACCATCTCTCCTCAGCAGGTGCTCCCATTTCCAGCAGCGATTGCATTCCCTAAAACCCACCCGCTAGAGGGGCTGGGTTTGAGTTTCACAGCCCTTAAACAGATCAGTGGCTGGTCTTCTGCTGGGATGCTCAGGTGGCACAGGGGCTTTTTTTCCCCCTCTCTACCACTGTATCTCCTGCTTTGGAGTGGGTTTGCAGTGGATCTTCTATGAGAAGTAAGTGTCCTGAAGCTAGCTTTGGAAGCTTTTGAACCACTTCAGCAACCCATCTTGCATATTACTCCTAAATAAGTGTCTTTTGGACCATTATAAGAGGCAGAACCAGCATCTTGTGGCAACTCTGGAGGAGAGAATGAAGTAAGTAAGGAGCTCAGAGCAACCAGACCTTGCAGAAATGCCTGGGGGAACTGAAGCCCTAGCCCTGTAAAAGAAGGCTCTCATGTCCTGAGAGAGGGATGGTGCTGGAGGTTAGGATGGGGACATTTCAACTCTTTAGAAGGCTAAGGGACTGAGCACTTGAGCAAATGCTGATGGAGTAAAGTAAGCTTTAATGGCCATTGCATGGTATTTGCCCTCCCTGTCTACAGAGCAGTCAGTGGGTGATAGCCTGGGAGAGGACCAAGTAGGCTTGTGTGAATGTGTGCTGCTCTCCTAGGTGTGTGGTCTGACCCATCTGTGTTCACTAGTGCAGAAGGACCATTTTGCTGTACTGGGAGGTGGGTGGTAGTCAACAGACCTTCTTCATTGCTTGGGCCCCTTAGGTGTCTTCTGTGGAGCTGTCAAGGTGGAAGAGGGCACCATGCTGAGCCTCACTAACGCCTTTGCAGACCTCCAAAGTTTCAATGTTATTCAGATAATAGCAGTCTTTGTAATCCCTATGGGACTTGAGGATATGCCAGGGCTTCTAATGATGCTCTGGTTTTGGGTTGAAGCAGGCCATTGTGAAAGAAATCTCCATTGCATTTGATATCAGGCCTCCCTCTAGAGCCATGGAGACCAGGAGCACTGATTTTGCTAGGCACAGTGATGGGGTTTCCTTCAGCTGGGAATCTAAACTGGGATTTTCCACGTTAGGGAAAACTTGAAGGCTCCAAGGTTTGGTGTTCAGGGCATCTCTTCTCTGCTATGAGCCTGGTGGAGGCCTCACACACCAAGAGAAAGTAAACATGAGGAATTATTTCTGGCTCTTTCTCTCTGGTGCTACGCTTGGGCTGGCTCCACTGTGGCATGTGAATTGAGTGTCAGGTTCGCTGCTGTCAGATCAGTAGGCTCATTCTGCATCTTTTTTTCCCTTTTTAGGCTATGAGAACACAAAAGTACCAAAGGAAAGACTTGTCTCCCTCCCTACTGTGTTAAGTCAGGCCAGACTCATGTGATTGCTCACCCAGCCTGGGAACCCATGGTCTTCAGATGCTCTGGGATGCAGAGGTGGGCAAGTGTGCTTAAATAAGCTTTTCTTTTTACTGCTAGATTTGAATGACTTCTAGAGCTGGTCAGAAATGGAAAATCACTGTGAGGTGTCTCTGTGGTGGGAATTTTTGTGTCAATTGTTTTACCTTCTGTAGACTTCCAAATTGGGCCTATTTTGATTTATTTATTGTTTAGAACCAGAAAGACTTCCAAGAATCTGGTTTTCCTTCCTTTTAAGTAATGCTTCTCAGTAACTGTTTAGTTGCATGTTCCACTTTGAGTACAAACTTGAACAGTGTCAGAATCAGTTATGTCTGAATTCAGAATGTGCTGATGCTGAAGAGAGACTTCTGAAACTCTTCCATTTAAAAGGTGTATCATTCAAATGCTTGTGAATCAAGGCCGACAATCACAAATCTCTGGTAGCACGCTCAAGAAAGGGCTGTTAATATGTCTGGGGTTGGGATTGAGTCACATTTCCTGCTAGGGACCATGGTGAGGAAGGTAAATAAAATAGAGAAAAACTAAATCTGAGCAGGATTCATGGTGTTGTTTAAGAGCAGTTTTTAATTACAAAAGTTTCTCCAAAGCTTTTAATGGGGTGTTTTTTTTTTTTTGGTAAAGGCTCCCATTTAGGCGAACTTCCTTAATATTTTTTTTTCCAAAGAGTGAAATTAAACTGTGAAAGCCCCAGAGGTAACAACACATCACTTCAGCCAAAGCAACTAAAGCCTCCAGCTGGAAAACAAACTGTATTTTACAAACCCAACTAGATTTTACTGAAAGAATGAAAACTTCTAAAGGAAATACGAACTGCTTCTTCAGGAAGTGTGGGCAATGAGAAGACCCCCCACTTACTGCATTCCTTCAGCAAAAACCCTCTCATTTCCCACTGGCAATGTGCAAATCTCCTATCAGCTGAAAAACATTGTGTTTTTGTATTAAAAGTAATTGCTGGAAGTTCCTAACCAGAACCAGGCTGGGTAAAAGGAATGGGTATAGAGGTATGGGGTGAGTGTTGCCTCCCACCTGCAACTGTTTTGAGTGTCAGGAAGCATCTGAGTAGGGATAGCAGGTCTGTGATGCCTGGCTTAATGAGGCAAATCATTACAGAAAGACAGGTCGCTAATGGCAAGCACTGGAAGTGTTGAATCTTTATTACAGTGTTCTCAGGAGTGTTCATTTTAATCAACGCCTGGATGGTCACATTCAGTCTGTTTGCTCTCTTTTGTGAATTACTGTGCAATTCAGCATTAACAAAGGTCCAAGTTTAGAGTGTTGCTGTTCAAGAAGGTAATACAAGCCTGGGAATACTGGCAAGGAAATGAACTTTTGAGGTCCATGCCAGTAGTTGGCTCCCTAAACTATCTCTGGTAAATGAGTAGATCAAACAGAACTTTGACGTTCAGCTCAAACAGAGCCCCCACCCATCCTGCAGACTTTCCATTAAGTTCTCCCCAGTGCTTTTTAATCACGTTTCTGTTCTTCCCTTTTCTCTGAGGAGAGAAAGTGGCTGCAGGGGAAGGACTATGGTTCCTCCTGGTACCACCTGTGCCAGTTAGACCTGGGAAGTACCAGAGACTTCAAAATGCTGGAGCTCTTGCTAGAGGGCTGGCACAACCTTGACTTCAGAGCCTCGCTTTTGACTATGCTCATTGGAGGTTTGTTTGCCCCTTGGCAGCTGTTTTTCAGAGGAGTGGTGGCTCTTTTGGTGTCTGTTTTGCCAGGGGACTGTTTTAGTGAAGGTGTAGAGGTAGTGTGAACCTTCATCAGTGACAGAAGTAAATTCAGGCCAGTGTAATCCTGATGGAGATCACTGGATAGTCCATGACTGCAAACCAGACCTCCGCATGCTGATGCTTGCAGTCACACCGGTTTCATTGGCTCAAGGGTTCTAGCCACCATGTGTTGTGAGATCTAGTCTTGGCCTCCACAGTCTACAGCTTAAAGGTTATTCTATGCTGTACCTATCTAATCTCTATATTTAAGGGTAAAGCAGCTTCTCAGCTCCTGATAGATGGCCTTTTGGCTGAGCCTGGAGCTGTTTGCTCCTCACTGTCCCAGTGTCATCCTACTGCTGCTCTGAACTTGGCTATCTGGAACAATTGTCAGCTGGCTCCAAAAAGGGTCAGCGTGAGGGTGCTTACAACTGCTTTTCTGGTTTGCCTCCTACATGCTCTTTGGCCACAAGTGAGAGGGTCTGAGCCAATAACTAAAAATACAGTCTCATAGCCTTGGATAAAGGTAAATTTGCCAGCAGGAGCTTCTCTGTAGGAATCTCTGCATCTGCTCTAGCACACAATCATGTGTGATGTGAGGGGAAGCTGGTGTCCCACTGTTCCCATCTCCTGCCAAGGTGCCTTTGTCTTGGCTCATGCTGAGTCATGGCTGGTTGCAGCTGGAGATGAATGGGCTCTTCTCCCAGGCAGATCTCCATCTCACCAGGGGCGCTACCATAGAATACATGAGGAAAACCTTTTTGCAGTGAGCCCTGCAAAGGCATTCTAATGGATGGCTGTATTGCTCAAGGCAGTAGAAGACAATACCCATCATAGGTTGGGACACACTTTGGGTGGACATGTACCATAGATGATGGTAGATTTATGGGTCTAATGGTGCTGCATGTGATGGTTGCCAGTAGTAAGACTGAACTTGTTTGCTATTGTGGGGAGCCAGCACTGATTTAGAACAGGTTTGGTCAATGGTCTCTGCAGATTTTCTTTGCCCCATGCTCACATCCCTTCACTTTCCCTCCAAGTCTGTCCTTAGTGTAAAAGGAGATGCCAAGGTGAATCCAGGCATTACATCACGGACATCCTGTTGCTTCAGACCCCAGTATGTGTTTGACTTGGCTAATGTTTCTTTCTCAAGATCGATGAGTGCCCATCCTGTTTGCATTTCTCTGAAGATAAAATAACCTCCCTGGGATTAGATTCCAGGTCTGGGCAGCCCAGCTGTGACAAAGGACAGGTGTGGGTCTGCAGGCAGGATGGGATGCTGCAGCATCCCTGCTGCCCTGTGTGCACCGCTCTTGCGAGATGAGCTATCTCCATGACCATTCCAATTAGATGGGGCCTCTGCTCCCCGCCCTGCTCAGCAGGCTCTGTGTGTGTTTGGGGAGAAAAATGAGAGGGGGGAATTGGAAGACATTACAGTGTGTAGGAAGTGTGGAGGAGAGAGTAATAGATGTGAGGAAAAAGACAACAAAGTATTCCAAGAGATGGGTTAAGAATGGGCAAATTGATGGTATGCAACATGTCATCAATCCTGTTTAGGCAGGCTGTGCTTATGATCTTGGTTATGTGCTAGCTTCTCTTCTCATTTCTCAGCCTTGGTTGGGTCTGGTCCCATGCATGTTGGGAAGGATCTTTCCCTTCAAAAACAGAGGATCCCCATAGCTCTGCAGTGTCCCTTGAAAAGCCAAGCACAAAAGCTGCATAAACTGGCGGAGTTACAGCCATGGAGCCACCAGCAACAAAGACAACTGTGAGCCAGTGCCTCCCATTCATCAGTAATTCAAGCTTTCCTTAAACACTGGTAAAAGCTCTGGATGGGCACAGTACCTACAGCAACAGTCTGCGCTCAGTCCTCAAGAAGGTCTGTGTTTAAGAAAGAGGGGTGATGGTTTCCAAAGTGGAACTTAAATGGCAAAGTCAAGGTGGGTCACAGGTTGTAGGACTGGAAAGAGTGGTTTGGGTAAAATACAGGCTGTCCTGATTTCCTGGGGTACATTAGCAACTGAAGACCCAGTTATAGGCCAGGGTATTGCTGTGCCTGTCCCCCATATAGCTGGTGGGAGCTGTTTTCTGCTGGAGACCTCATGCCTGCATTACGGGATGGGCATAACAGATTTTATTCTTCCCTCTGGGCTGTGAAGACACGGGGACAGCAGGGAGCTAATCCTGTCCCAGGCTGGTGGTGTAAAGCTCTCCTCTAACACACAGCTTGATGCAAACATGATCTTGCTCTTACACTCACCTAGGCTGTGTCAAATCCCAGCACCACTTGTTACGGGATAAGGAGCAATCCAGAGCCAAACTGGGACCAGTTCCTCTTCTTGGCTGCATGGGGCAGGATACTCACTTGCACTCCAGCTTCAAAATGAAGCCTCTTGACCTGGCTCAGAGCAGATAACACTGAGCACAAATCGCATGTTGAAAGATGCTGGTGATATAGATGTAACTTACTGCACTGCTCTTGATTCTTTATGTTACAACAGATGTACAGCTGCTGCGGTCTAACACCAGCTACTGCGAAGACAAAGGCTTCAAATAAAAGCCCCAAAAATGTAAATTCCTGTGATCGGTTATGCTTGGGGGAAGGCAAAGAAAGCAGAGTAACTGCAGAACTTAACCTGGGTTAACTAAACAGACTCTTAAACTCTGTTTCAACATTAGACTTCTAACATTACCTGCTTGGCATGTCACAGCCAGGGATAAGAGCCACCACACAGCGCACAGTTAATCACGGAGCCAGCTGCCCCCAGATATGTTGGGACATAAAGCTTGTCAGGGAGAGCTCTTTCTCTGACATCTTTTGTGACACAAGGGGAGAAATGAATAAAGGATGGAGAATCTCGGATGACAGGGCATGCACCAGCCACTAAATGGGGCTGAAGTGCAAATTCTTCTGCCAAATGAAATGTGGTCTCCTTCCCCCTCCCTGACTTCCTTAACTTTCTATCAAGGTGAAGAGAGTAGTAGTAAACTTAGTCCTTCAGTTCCTTTAATTCTGCCCAAGACAGGCCCTACTCTCTTTTCAATATATCAATGTTTATGGGACAAGTGGAATTCAACTAGGCACATTCTCCCTATCCTTGTGCTGCCATTGACACACTGAAGGCAGATCAATTTAGGCTGTTGCATTCTCCCTTCCTTCTCTCCATTGCTGCCTGATTTTTCTTGCTCTTATTGCTTGGAGAGTGATCTCTTTTTCTCTGCTGGCAGGGACACTCAGGAGCAGCTCTGGGGCTGGGCCAGCCCTGACTGCTGCCCTCGATTTGTGTGTTCTCAGTTGAGTCCAGGCT